CTCCCAAGTAGCTGGGACCTCAGGCGCCCACCACAATGCCCGGCTATTTTTTGGTTGCAGCCGTCATTGTTGTTTGGTGGGTCCGGGCTGGATTCGAACCCACCACCTTAGGTGTATGTGGCTGGCGCCTTAGCCACTTGAGCCACAGGCACTGAGCCGAGATTTCGTATTGTTGATGGTATTTCAGTGATTGATATAGGTCTATTCAGTGTTTCTAATTCTTTCTGGCTGAGTCTACAAAGGTGACATGTTTCCAGGTATTGGTCCTATTGGTCCATTTCTACCAGATTTTTATATTTCTGAGTAGAGTTTTTTTATAGTAATCATTGAAGATTTTTTTGATTTCTGAGGTGTCTGTTGTTATTTCTCCTTAAACCTTTGGCTAATCTAACCAGAAACAGAAAAGTAAAAGCTCTAATATCAGTCAGACTTTTTTATTTTTTGAGACAGAGTTTCACTTTGTTGCCCTTGGTATAGAGCCATGGCATCACAGCTCATAGCATCTTCAAACTCTTGGGCTCAAGAATTCTCTTGTCTTAGCCTCCTAAGTAGCTGGGACTACAGGTGCCTGCCATAATGCCCAGCTATTTTAGAAATGAGGTCTCACTCTGGCTCAGACTGTCTTGAACTTGTGAGCTCAGGCAATCCTCCCACTTCTGCTTCCCAGAGTGCTAGGATTACAGGCATGAGCTACTGTACCTAGCCTAATTGTTATTTTTTTTAAAGGGGGAAAAATCACTGATAAAAATCCAACAACTTCATTCAGAAGGAAGTACAGAGTAAAATGACAGGGAGACAATGTGCAGTACTGGTAATATGTGGGGCGATAGAAACTTATTCTTTGGTGGTAGTGCAAATTATTATAGCCTTTTTGGAAAAAAAATAGTAGTTATTGAAATGAAAATGCACATTATCCTTTGAGTATATCTGCTTCTAGGAATCATTCCTACAAAAATAATATATTAGTATATATACTATCATATAATGCTAATAGAGTGTATTAATTACTATCATATACTAATGTAGTATATTAAGATTTATATGCAAATATATTTATCTCTTAGTTTATATTATATTAACTAATGACTAGAAATAACACTAATGGTAGTTGATCACTTGATGAATGATTAAATAAATTGTACCACATCTGTACTATGGATTATGGTGTAACCATTGAGCAGGAGGGATGTCCATGATGATATTGTTAAATTGGGATGTGAGATGACAAATTATAGATTGTTATGCATAATAGAATTACTTTTTTATTTTGGGACAGAGACTCACTGTTTCACCCTTGGTAGAGTACCATGGCATCACAGGTCATAGCAACTTCAAACTCTTTGGCTTAAGTGATTCTCTTGCCTCAGCCTCCCAAGTAGCTAAGACTATAGGCACCTGCCACAGTGCCAGCTATTTTTGTTGCAGTTGTCCTTTATTTAGCTGGCCCAGGCTGGGTTCAAACCTGCCAACTTTGGTGTATGTGGCTGATGCCACAACCACTGTGCTATGGGCGCTGAGCCATGTAATCCATTTCTTATAACAAAAGAGAAAGCTTATGTATGTTAATTATGTGATGAGCCAATAGAAAATATGTGAAAGGACTGGGTTAAGGGAGGATGTGGGATTGGTGAAGTGGGTAAATGTCTTTCTCTTCATATGTTTATATAGTGTTTGATTTATTATGAAAAGCATATGTTACTTTTGTAATAATGACATTTAGTGAAGGAAAAAAATTCAAAGTATGAGGATATGGGTTCTAAAGATACTGGATTAGGCCAGCCAGAGATATGGAAAATAAGAAAAGTATTATGCTACACTATCTATTGTAGAGAATATTTGTAATCATTTCCATCTAAAACCATTATAACAAATTATTTCTGAAAAGAAAGATATTTTATACTATGAGATGGAGGCATTCATGATTATATTTCTTTTATAGCAACTGCGCTCCAATATCCGAGAAATGGAGAAGCTTTGTTTGAAAGTCCAGAAGGATGACCTAGTGCTTTTGAAGAGAATGATAGATCCTGTTAAAGAAGAATCATCAACAGCAATAGCAAAATTCCTCCAACTCCATTTGGAATCTGTAGAAGAGCTTAAGAAACAGTTTAATGATGAAGAAACTTTATCACAGCCTCCTTTGACCAGATCCATGACCACTGGTGGTAATGTATTATACTAATTCTTAATCTGTTTTTTAAATTTCAGATTAATGTGAAAGTACAGACAGCTTGGTTACAGTGTTTGCATTTGTTAGGTAGAGGTCGTTTTGCAGTCATGTCCAGCACCCAAGAGGTGGCATAAACCCTTACATTGTACCTGTTAAGTGGGAGTACACCAATCTCCCTCCTCCCACTCCTCTTCCACCTCCCTCTTCCCCCCTCCCCCTTACTTGAAGCAAATTGAGTTTTTCTCTTATGTAGGCATATATTAGATCATCTACTGACTTCATATTAGTATTGAGTAGATTGGATACTTG